AAAGTTTGTCTGCATTGATACAGAACTAATTAGTGACCACATTAAAAAAGTCATAATAAAGTCATTAAATAGAAAAAAAATAAGAGGTTTGGTTTAAAATTTCCAAACATTTTACATAACTAAATATAGACATTTTAGCTAGGTCTTTCGCCAAGGAAAATAAAAAAGCCTCAGTTTAAATGCTTTACACTAGAAGCAAAGCTATGAATTTTAACTGTATATGTCATCTAGATGTAAAAAAATATCTGGGCTTTGGAACAGATAAATAAAAATACGATTTATACAAGAAATCTTTTAAAATGAAGATTTTAAAAGTTAAAAAAAATGTAAATAACAATATTTTCTCACTTCTTCTTCAAAATATTTTTCACACGATGAAACTTTTAATGCAGAAATGAAAATCCTCAAAAGAAGAAGAAGAATAATAATATTTTTCACACAAGCTCATACTCATAATTAAAGAAATTTTCACGTATTGTTTTGAATCAATAATTATCCCAGTACTTAAAAAATCCTGCCTTAGGAATTTTGAAAGCGGTCACTTTTATACTGAAAAAATTATTTACAATAAAAAATTATTTACTATTTATTTATGAATTAATCACAACTTGGTATTTTTCGAACCAGTACGAAATCATCTTTAAAAAATTGCAAATCGACTATTCAGTAAAAGTATAATGTCGCAGTCAATAAATGTATTTCAGTAATATTTTTGAAAATGAAAGCTTTTAAACATGATTGAAGATCAAAAAGATAAAAAAAAAGAAAGAGAAAAAGCTAATATTTCACTCATCTGCAGAAAATTACAGTTAAAAAAAGTGTTTTCCAATCATTCTGAATGCATATCAATGAATATCGATGTCAATAAATATTCTTTTATACTTTAACATCCTTAAAATAAAAACTTTTAATATAATTGATGTTAAAAAAAAAGAGGAAGATAAAAAATTATTTTACTCATCGGGGCAAAATTAAGCATACTCTGAAAGGACGTATACTCTAATTATTCTCTTTGTGTAGCCATTAAAATTGTTGTTAATAATTATACTTTAATAAAACTGCAATAATATTTCTGAAAACAAAAACTTTTACCAAAATTGAAGATTCAAAAAATGACGAAGAAGAAGAAAAGAATATTTTTCTCACGTGCAAAAAATTGAAAAAAAATTTGCATTCCAATACTTAAAAAAAATGTGCATTGTAACAATTATGTATGTTTATCAATTAGGTTCTATTAGTAATTATATTTTAATGAAAGTATAATTATATTTTAGAAAACGAAAACTTTCAAACATGATTGAAGATCTAAAAAAATAAAGAGGAATATTTCTACGGAAAATCACAATTAAGAAATATGCATTTCAATTATACTGTACCTATTAATATCTTAGTCATTAATTTTATTTTAATAAAACTGCAATAATATGTTTGAAAACGAAATTTGGATCCAAAAAATAAGAAATGGAGGAGGAGGAAAAAAATATTTTACTCATCAGCACAAAATCACGAATTATGAAATTATGTTCCAACTATTTTGTATGATTTAATAGCGAGATCAATAATTATAATTTAATAAATTAAGTTCTAAATAATTGAAAATCTGAAAAAATAAGGAAAAATAGTTTACGCACACGTATAAACACACAATTAAAAAAATGTATTTCAATTATACTGTACCTATTAATGTCTCAGTTAATAACTATTTTTTAATAAAACAGTAAAAATATTTTTGAAAACTAATTTTTCAACATAATTGAAGATCTTGAAAATAAAATAAGACGAGGAAAAGAATTCTTTCTCATCTCTAAAAAACAATAATTTTTGAAAACAATATATTCCAATTATTCTGTATCAATATAACTACAACTATATTTTTGAAAACAAAAATTTCAAACATAATTGAAAATTTCAAAAAAATTTGAAGAAGAACATTTTACCCATCAGCACTAAACCACATTTTTAAAAAGTGCATATCAATTACTATGTATCAATTAACATTGCTGTCAATGATTAATTTTTAATAAAACTGCAATAATATTTTCGAAAACAAAACTTTTTAAAATAAATAAAGATCTAGAAAACAAATGAAGAGGAGAAGGAAAAGAATATTTTACATTAAATAAGGGGAAGAGGGGGACAAAAAGAATATTCTATTCATCTGCGCAAAATCATAATTTAAAAAAAAATAGATTCGAATTATTCTGCAACAATATCGCTGTCAGCAATTATACTTTAATAAAGCTAAAATCATATTTTGGAAAACAAAACGTTTTAAAGTAATTGAAAATTTGAAAAAAAGACGAGAAAAACCGAACAATATTTTACGCATCCTTTCAAAATCACAATAAAAAAATGCCCTTAATTTATTATGTATCAATTAATATCTCAGTCCATAATTATTTTTTAATATAATTGCAATAATAAAAATTAAAATTTTTAGCCCAATTGAAGATCTAAAAAATAAAATTAGAGGAGGAGGAAAAGAATATTTCACTCATCTCCTAAAATCATAACTAAAAAATATATTCTAATTATTCCGTATTAATATCAGTGTCAATGATTATATTTTAATAACACTTCAAATATATTATTGAAAAGGAAATTTTTTTTAACCTAATTGAAGATCTAAGAATAGAAAATTAAAAGAATATTTTATGCATCCTCACGAAATCTTAATTAAAAAAATTTATTTCAATTATTTTGTATCGATTAATATCTTAAATAATAATAATATTTAATGAAACTGCAATAATAATTTTGAAAACGAAATTCTTAGCATAATTGAAGATCCAGAAAATAAAATAAGAAAAAGAGGAGGGGAAAGAAGAATATTTTATTATCTGTGCAAAATCATTACTTGAAAAAATTATATTCCAATTATTCGGCATCAATATCGCGGTAAACAATTATACTTCAATAACACTGTAATTATATTATTGAAACTAAAAAGTTCTAAAGCAACTAAAGACCTAAGAATAAAAAAAGAGAAAGAATATTTTATGCATTCGTACGAAATCACGATTAAAATAATTCTTTTCAATTATTCTGTATCTATTAATATCTTAGTCAATAATTATGTTTTAATGAAACTGCAATAATCAAGGCAAATCATAGCAAAAAGCAAAGTAATTAAAAACGAAATTCCTAAGATAATTGAAGATCTAGAAAATAAAATAAAAAGAGGAGGAAGAAAATAAGAATATTTATTCATCTGCGCAAAATCATAATTTATAAAAAATATATTCCAACTATTCTGCAACAATATCGCTGTCAACAATTATAATTTTATAAAACTACTATTATTAATTATAAAACTATTATTGAAAACAAAAAGTTTTAGCGTAATTGAAGATCTAAAGAATAAAAAAAGAAAAGAATATTTTACGCATCCGCACGAAATCACGATTAAAATAATTCATTTCAATTATTTTGTATCTATTAATATCTTAGTCAATAATTATATTTTAATGAAACTGCAATAATCAAGGCAAAAAGCAAGGTAATTGAAAACGAAATTTCTAACATAATTGAAGATTTGGAAAATAAAGTAAAAAGACGAAAAAAATAAGAATATTTTATTCATCTGCGCAAAATCATAATTTAAAAAAAAATATATTCCAACTATTCTGCAACAATATCGCTGTCAAAAATTACAATTTTATAAAACTACTATTATATTATTACAAACGAAAAGTTTTATCGTAATTGAAGATCAAAAGAATAAAAAAAAAGGAACGAACACTATAATTATATTATTGAAACTAAAAAGTTTTAAAGTAACTAGAGATCTGAGAATAAAAAAAGGAACGGAATATTTTATGCATCTGCACGAAATCACGATTTAAATAATTCATTTCAATTATTCTGTATCTATTAATATCTTAGTCAATAATTATATTTTAATGAAACTGTTATAATCAGGGCAAATTAATGCAAAAAGCAAGGTAATTGAAAACGAAATTTCTAACATAATTGAAGATCTGGAAAATAAAGTAAAAAGAGGAAAAAAATAAGAATATTTTATTCATCTGCGCAAAATCATAATTTAAAAAAAATATATTCCAACTATTCTGCAACAATATCGCTGTCAACAATTATAATTTTATAAAACTACTATTATATTATTAATAACGAAAAGTCTTATCGTAATTGAAGATCAAAAGAATAAAAAAAAAAGGAAAGAACACTATAATTATATTATTGAAACTAAAAAGTTTTAAAGTAACTAGAGATCTAAGAATAAAAAAAGGAACGGAATATTTTATGCATCCGCACGAAATCACGATTTAAATAATTCATTTCAATTATTCTGTATCTATTAATATCTTAGTCAATAATTATATTTCAATGAAACTGTTATAATCAGGGCAAATTAATGCAAAAAGCAAGGTGATTGAAAACGAAATTCCTAACATATTTAAAGATCTAGAAAATAAAATAAGAAGGGGAGAAAGAAAAAAAGAATATTTCATTCATCTGCGCAAAATCATAATTTAAAGAAAATATATTCCAACTATTCTGCAACAATATCGCTGTCAACAATTATAATTTTATAAAACTACTATTATATTATTGAAAACAAAAAGTTTTATCGTAATTGAAGATCTAAAGAATAAAAAAAGAAAAGAATATTTTACGCATCCGCACTAAACACGATTAAAATAATTCATTTCAATTATTTTGTATCTATTAATATCTTAGTCAATAATTATATTTTAATGAAACTGCAGTAATCAAGGCAAAAAGCAAGGTAATTGAAAACGAAATTTCTAACATAATTGAAGATCTGGAAAATAAAGTAAAAAGAGGAAGAAAATAAGAATATTTTATTCATCTGCGCAAAATCATAATTTAAAAAAAATATATTTCAACTATTCTGCAACAATATCGCTGTCAACAATTATAATTTTATAAAACTACTATTATATTATTGAAAACAAAAAGTTTTATCGTAATTGAAGATCTAAAGAATAAAAAAAGGAAAAGAATATTTTACTCACTCGCGCAAAATCACTGTTATAAAAAGTGTATTCCAACTGTTAAAATTTGTTTGACAGGAGTGCGTTCTCATCCGTTCATCTCTAGACCAGTTATGTCAGGAGAAATGAAAAAATTCGAACGAAGCTTTTGACAACACATGCGGTGTTTGGGTTGCCATTTTCCTCTTGTTGTTCCACTGACAGGTTTATTTTTTTTCTTCTAAAATGATGAGTTCATTTTTTATTCCTCCACATGCTTCTTAAATTTATGACAGCGTTGACTACGCGTGCTGAAGATATCTATGATATAAAAACTGTACTTCTGTGTGTTAATTTTTTAATGCCGTGATATTTTGGAACGCATGAAATGGAGAGGGTTTTTTTTGAGGAAATACAAATTAAACTGCCTTCAGTACGTTTGATGAGGATGATGACCCTCAGATCATCCTTGTTGTCGTTTGCTATTTTGAAATTAAACTCTAATTTTTTTTTAATGCCATCATTTATTGATAATTTTATTGTCCGTGCACAGAGTGTAAATGACTAGATTTATTTATTTAGCATTTTTTTTTAGATATGTTTCGGTGTATTTTTATTTATAGTTTTCAACGTATAAATAGTATTCACATAAAACTAAATGTGTGTCAAATAAAATTAAAAATCATAACTGGACTTGAATTTGAGTTTTTTATTACCTTGAGGTTTGCAAGAAAGAATCCAATATTGTACACAAATCGGGCTCCAATCTCTGATCCCTATCGTGATTCTCTAAAATTGCAACAACTTCTAAACGTTTGATAACACTTTCACGCATTTTATATTTTTAGCTTCGATAACGACCATTTGTCTTTAAAATTAACTCAAAATCAGCATCAGCATTGACTATATATATATATATA